TATATATATATATATAAGATTGTAATGGCTGCAGCAACCAATCATTTTTTTACTTTTATGGAAATGCGATAAACTGAATGATTCTCGCGCTAATTTAAATATTGATTCTCGCCATGTAATTGAATTTATGGGTTTTTTTCCCATCTAATCTGACATCAATTCTGTTGTTTTATGGAAAATATTTGTAAAATCATATGCATTAATAATACGATAATTCATGAGGTTTGAATTTATAATATAATAATAATGTAACTATTATTAATGTAACTATTCTTATTTTATTCATGATTCCTTTGCAGATATTTATCTCTGTTAATATATATTAATTTATTTTTGTTTATATTATCTATGTATATTAGATATATATTATATATATATTATATCAACATTTCTAATATTTTCATCTTTAAAATAGTTGAAAAATATAAAAGTTATTAACAAATCTTTATTCATGGCACTTTATTCCACTGCTGTTTTAAATCGGGCTCTGTAATCTGCAAAATAAAAAGTTGAAGTATCTTAATAATATGTAAGAAGGACGAAAAATTAAATTAAAAACTTAATTGTAATACCTTCATTGTTAAATTATCTATGCAAGCATTACGTATACGTGCAGCAGTTGCAGGTGCATCAAATCTAAAATATTTATGAATATTCATATCTTTACGCGCAGCCTTAATTGCTTCCTTAATGGCAAAGAACGCAGATGACGCCAGAAATAACGGTGGCTCACCAACAGCCTATTGTATTCAAATTATTTTTTAATATAAAAAAAATATAACAAGTATATAATATTATTTTATAGTATATTGCTATCTTATTTCTTTTCTTTGAAATTAATGCATGCTATATAAAAATATTTGAAATTAAGAAAAAATTATACCTTAGAAGAATATACTGCTCTTGGATTGGAAACTCCTTTTAATAAGGAAACATTAAATTGTTGAGGTATATCGGTGAAGCCCGGTAATTTATACACGCCAGGTCCTCTACTAAGTAAAGCTCCCGTTGGTGAATAAATCATTTCCTCTAATGTAAATAAACCGTACCCTTGAACGAAGGCACCTTCAACTTGTCCTATGTCAATGGCTGGATTTAAACTTTCTCCTAGATCCATAACAATGTCTGTCCGTAAAACCTATACCGATTGAAAAATATCAATATTCGTTTTATAAAATCCCCATGCTTCTATAACACATATTTTAAAATTTATAAAGTTATTATGAGTGTCGTTTGTATATTCCTAATATAAAATTTGTGATAAAAATTATAACATTGATGTTTTAAAGAAATACATTTTAATCTTATAAATTATTAATTTTTTAATGATATTTTTTCGTACGAAATAATGTCATGAATTAAGTAGTGTAAAAGAATACATAATTGCTTTTTGAAAAAAGTATTAATTGCATATCGAAAATTGCATAATTATACACATAAGATGTACCTCATGATCACCAGTAAGACAATCGATTTCCACTTCTGTACAAGCAACGCCATACGTAAAATAATTAAAGGGATTCCCTGTATTAGTTTCAAAAGAATATCCAATGTTGGGCGTTCGATAGAAACCGGTAGTGGACAGACTTATCCTTTGAAAATATGCTGCTTTTATCCACTCTTCCCAAGTACCTTTTGGATCGCTGTTAATTATCGGTTGTAAACGATTCATGATTTCCTGACATGCATTCTGAAAATTAATTTCTATAGTTTAATCGACATTTATTTGCATAAGTTATATATAAAATATTATTACACACCATAACAGCCATGCCATTGAGATCAGATCCACAACTTGCCGCAGTCGCAGATGTATTGGGAACTTTATCGGTAGCCGTTTCAACGATATGTATCTTTGCTGGGTTTATTCTTAAGATTCTGCTAGTAATCTGATCATAATATAAAGAAAGAAGAAGAACTTAACTTCATTTTCTTAATTTCTATAGAGATTGCAATTAATTGCAATTTAGATTATGATTTATAAATGCAAATTTTATTTAAAATAAATATTTATATATAGGGAGACACAAGTGAATATTATTCATACTTGAATCATTTTTGTGTTTAGACCTTGTCCCATCTCAACGCCACTGTGACTGAGTAGCACTGATCCGTCAATATATACATGCACTAATGCACCCGCTTGGTTTAGGAATAATGCCGTAAATGCTATACCGAACTTTGTAGGTACAATCGCGAGTCCTTTTTTCTTAAATCGATTCTCTCTATAAAATTATTCATAATTGACTTTAATAATTTGTAATTTAATTTACAATTTATATACGATGCAAACGAATTACTTGCCTATTGTATCGTTGAATCTCAATTATTCTTTCACTATAACGGGAAGATGCTAGACATTCGCGCCAACAGCGATCTAAAGTACAATTTATCAGTTGTTGGTTGTAATGCGTTAAATCACCTTCCTTATATAAATTTAATTCGGACAACTGTTGTAAAAAATTTTTTCAATTATTATTAAATTTATTTCTATCTGCTTGTAATATGTAAACTGGATGTACAATTTTATACATGGTAGATTGAAATGTAGATGATAAGAAAGATAGAGAAAGGGAGAGAGAGTGATTTAAGGGCTCAAAATAAATTGAAATAATAAAACATTTTTTTTTTAGAGTAACTTTGTAATTAATTAAATTCTTTTTCGAGAACATTGTATTAATGTTTATCGACCAACTTTGTATAATCAATAAATTGTTTATCGACCAACTTTGTATAATCAATAAATTTTATAAAAATAGAAAATTATTTCGTTGCATATATAACTTATAATACCAAAAATTACCTTGATGATATCTAGATTCAGATAATCAGCAATTTGTCGAATGATAGTTTCAGCTAAAAACATTCCTTGTGGTCCACCAAAACCTCGAAAAGCTGTGTTCGATGGTAAATTTGTTTTACACACATAGCCATATACTTCTGACACTGGAATTTTATATGAATTTTCAAAATGAAACATAGCACGTTCCAATACCTGGAAATATTAGAAAAAAATTCATGCTCTTTATGCTCGTGTACATTAGCATTATTATATAATTTTTAACAAAAAAACTAATTTTCTCAATTTACATTTTATTACTCACCGATATTGATAAATCATGAGAATAACCTCCATTGTTATATATGTGTACTTTTGCGACTTTGATAAGTCCATCATTATTACATCCAACTTTGTATTTAAATAAAAATGGATGTCGTGTTCCACTTATCATCATGTCTTCGTCTCTATCTAACATGCAACGAACTGGTT